ATGTACAACTGACTCTTTTCCAATGAGAAACAGATTACCCTTCCTGTCCAGAAGAGCCACGAGACATGCATCTCCACACTAAGCTCCTATTCTTACCTGAAAAGGTTTGAATTAGTGGGTTCATAACATTAAGACAGTGTACATTTCAGCTGCCATGTTTACTTATGTTTTCTTCCCTTTTCAGCCTCATTACTACTCTCCCCCTTTCCTTGCTTTTTTAAAACTCACTCCTACCCAACCACACCATCCTCAGTACAACTGTCCCCCTTTCAAAGTCAAGAATGTCTGGCAACTTGGTCAGAATCAGTAAAGTACTTGTCATTTATTGCCTGTTTTCCTGGCCAAAATATCTAAACTCTTCAGTCTCTTCCTAGAAGGGTGGAGTGACCATCTTTTGCTCCTACTGTGTGTGTGAGTACTTGTTCTCAGAAGTAGGGGCCATTTCTGTAGCTTTGCTGGCTCTTCACCAGGTTTGTTGGCTGCCTCCTTTTTTCTCCTTCTGGATGATGTTGCCCTCCCTTCATCTCTGTGGGAATCCCAGGCCTGGGAGAAGAGACAAAGGAGTAGGCAGGGTACCTTCGACAAACATTGGTGAGTCTGAGTTACCACCAGTCTAATAACCTTCCATTTCTTATCTGTTTCCATGGTCACAGCTAGGTCTCAAGGATGGGAAACAGCCCTCCACACACAGTGAACCATTACATCACTCCCGTCCTTAACAATCTTCACTGCCTCCTTGTTGCTGGTGGAATAAATAAGCAGTATGGGAGACCTTTTGCACACTAGCTTTGAGCTCACTTTTCTATTCCTCCAGTCATTTTCTCCCAAGTGTCCATTCCAATGTGTACAGTGTTACTTCTTCCTCTTTCAAGACCCAGCTCAAACATCACCTCCCTTGGAAGCCTTCTCAGACGTTGTGATGTGAGCTGCTCCCTCTTTCCTTTGGGCTCTATTCTGTGCTCACCTACCTATGGCACTTATCACACGGCACTGTAATTGTTGGTTTATGTATCCATCATTCTCATCCTCTACCTTCTAGACTGTGAGCGCCTCACAGGCTGGTGTGAGTCTTGTTCATTAGAGTGTCACCAGAGCCTGACTCTGGGCACCTGGCTCTCAGCAGGTGCTCAGAAAACATTAATTGAGTAAATGAAGGAAAAGGGGGAGAGATGTGGTCTTTTATTAATTTATTGAGCAAAAAGTGGGTAGGATGATACAATGAGGCACTGACCCAGTAAAGAAAACACTGGTGTTTTAATGAAACTCTTTTAAAGCTGTGAAACATGTTATCTGTGAAGTAAAAGCTTTTATTCTTTCCATTGCTCAGATTTTCACACAATGATCACAGTGGTAAGGTTAATAAGATGCTGGACAGATAAGTAGCCAAAGAATGTATACAACAACAAAACTCATCAACTATATACCAACTGCAAATTTACTGAGACATCAAGAGAATGTGTGTTTGTAGTTACACAGCTAAAAATAAGACATTATTACAGTAACCAAGTCAATAAAACTAGAAAAAAAAAGCTATATAACAAAAAGGCCTTTCACAAGCTATTAAATGATCATACATTATAGACATACCAATTTTATATTTGAAGCAGCTTATAGCACCAACATGTTGGGAGGACCAGTGAGGGGTAGAACCATTGGATTGAAGCATCTGACAACAGGAAGGGATCTCAGCCACCACCTACTTCAAACCCCTCATTTTACAGATGGAGAAATGGAGGTCCAGAGAGGTGAAGTGCCTTGTCCAAAGTCACAACACACAGGGTTGGCTAGAAAACAATACAGGGTAAATATCCAGGCCACCCACTTCAGGTTAAGTGCTCTGTTTTAATATACATATAATTCTACTTGATTTGATGTATTTTTTTCCTATTCATAGGTCTACCACACAAGAAATCAATAAATCCACAGCATATTCTGGCATTTTATTTATTTTATTGATAAAGGACTGACATGTACTGTGATTCACTTCTTGGACCTATGACTCTTAAATCAAAATGCTGAGTAATCAGTCAGATACATCATCTTCGTTAGAAACCGGGTCACCAGAAGGGATCAGAAGACAGAGTCCGGCATATCCTCTACCACGTAATTAGCCTATGCCGCACAATTACTAAATCGTTGGTATAAAGTTTTTTTTTTTACAATGTAAAGATTAGCAAAGTATAAAAGCAGTGCAAACAGAGAGAAAGCAAATCAGGTGTTTCCTTTAATAAGTATGGCACTTTTCATTTTAATAAGGTAGGGACATTAAAAACCCGATTCCTTAAAAGAAAAAAAAAAAAAAGGGATTTAGATCCAACACATTGCTTGTGAACCAACTTGTGTACAAAGCGTTTTCCCAATGTTAAAAAAATCTGTTTCTGTAAAATACTTTGGAATCATAAAATTTTGTCTAGCATATCTTGCCATGGTGCTGAGGCTTCAACTGGACAGATTTATGATGAACCAATGAAGGTATCAGAATGAAAAAAGGAAAAGAGATTACTGTTAACAGGAACAACACTAAAGCCACAGTATATTGAACATAGCTTATGGAGATGAAGCCAAGATGTTGCATGTGTATATGTGTGTCATTATAGTGACAGCTGGAAGAAAAAACACGGGACGTTTTTCTATCATTATCACAAACCAACTACTGCAGAACACTTAAACTGTGGCTTCATGAGTAGAATAAAGCCTGATAAACAAAAGTGACTTCTGTATATCATATCTATGTATACATATATTATATTTTTGCAAATAGACTTCTGGTTATAAGTAAAGTAACATTTAGCTACATTTCCTCCCTTCCCTTGGGTCCAGCATCAAAGGATTTGATTCTTTTTTTTTTTCTTAAACTTGCCCTTCACCTGGTTAGTAAGTTATACTACATTTACACTCCTATCCTTTATTATATCTGGCCAGTGAAAATAAAACGAAATCCCCTGGGACCTCAAATCCATTCCTTACCACTACAAGCATATTAACAAATACATAGCAAAATAAATTTGTTTTCTGTTGGGTAAAAGAGAATGTTTAGTACTAGAGAATATACTTACTACTAATAATGTGTATATAATGGCATAATAAAAGTAATTTCATGAAAATATTTTGTAATACGCTGCATTATAAATACCTAAAGAAACACGTTAAAATCAGAGTGAAGTAAGATTAGTGTTCTGAAACTGTAAGTAGAAAAATATAAAAAAAGAATGTCTTGTTAAGTAAAGCATTAAATGTAAAGTCGTCTTTTTAGTGTACATTTCAAATTCACCTTTTTGAAGTGTAAAACTTTTCTCTCTCTTAAACAGGTGCCTATAATTTACCTGGGAACTGGGTATACATGCAGAACACCAAGCAGCAGATGACAAAAGGTTAAGGGCAGTGGTTTGATTTTCACATGGTCTTGGAAAAATGCAGGCAGTTCACAATGCTGAAAGGTGACTTAGAGAAATACAGAATCTGAGCAGTTTAAAATAGTACTGCATTTGCTCACACACAATTAGCAGAATACTCAAAGCCCAAACATTAGATTTTCAGAGCAGCTTGCATTAGAAGGCAGACTGTACAGAATTAGGGAAAACCACTGTTAATAATTCCTTCTTGGAGTTGAATCCTTTTTTTGAGACTAGGTTTTTTTAGTCCTTCATTAGTAGTTACTTTTTTTTTTTTTTTTAAGAAGTTTCAAATGTTTTATTAAACTCACAGTTCCCTAGGCAGGACACAGTATTCCACAATGCAGGCCCACTCTGGGAGTAAGTTTACTTTTAAGGAACTGAAGCTGAATCAAAATATCAGAGGCCTAGTTTGGGCTTTTCAGCAAGCATTTAAAAAAGGACTCTCTCTTCCTCTTTGATAAAGTCAAAATACCCTCTGGCCATAAAAGAGTACTTCTTTTAGGATTCCTACTGGAAATTCCAAAGATGTGAGGGCTATATTCATGCCCAGAGGAAAATCAAGGAACTCAATACCCAGCTGCTGGAACAGGTGGGCCCAAGTAGCAGACCACTCCTCTTCGAATGGTTTGTGGGCAGAGTAGCAATGAAAACTGCAGATATTTGAAAAGAGCTTAAGTGTCTTGACACTTGTCCATTTTTCAGGGATATGTTTCTTTTCCACCATGTTCCACCCATCTGAGACTGGGGAGGTGGACATTATTACCTCTGAAAATAAATGCTCTAGCAGGAGAGGAAAGATAAAGGGAAGGCGGAGAGACAAAGAGGACTAAACCAAAAAGTTGGGCCAAGAAGAACTGGTTTTTATACACTCCTGCTCCTCTTGTGGCTGGGCTCACGGTCACTCTGTCTCATTCCAATCATCGGGAGGAAACTTCAGAGGTGTCTACTCCTCACCTATCATAAGCCCTGGGAGCATGGTGGTCCAAGGTCTCCTCCCCTTTTCCGGACTCAGGGTCATCAAAGCCCAAAGGCCCTTTGTGGATTAATACCTCATACTATAAAAAGGCAGTTTAGTTTAGTTTTTAAATTTTAATTGGCACAGTTTTTTGTAGTCCAAGAGGTCCAGCAAGGATTCAAGAGAGGAGAGATGACCTCATTATTTGATCTATAATGAATATAATCTTTAGGATGTTCTTTACTTTCTGTACAGTTAACTCTATGAAAAGAATTTTTCTTCTACCTACCTACAGCTCATGATAAATTTATAACTTCTGGAGTTGAGGAACTGATAGTATGGAGAGAAAAAAGTTTTAACTAGGAAATAAGGTCTTTGATATGTGTATACACAAAGGCATATATATACACACAAAACCACACCCCCCACCCCCTACCCCCACTATATACTGTACAAATTGGCACAAACTCTATTAAGAACATAAAATGAGTTAAAAGGTTTTAGTATTTAAGTAATTCTTGGCATTTTAATCTTGACAGGTGCTTAGACAATTTAGGACTTGGCATATTGAATGACACATATATTTAAAAGTCTACGTGTTTTTAAAAAGGCCCAGACCAACTTTCCCTAAACAGTAACCCAATACGACACCACAATTACCAAATGGAAAACAAGATAGTTACTCTCTATTAAATCAGTAAAGGGTATTTTAGAGAAAAGACAATTTGGAGAATAAAGACCTCAGAGTCCACTTTCCAAGGTAAGAACATTTTAGTTATTAGCAGTGGTTACCAAATAAGCTGAAGGGAAATCTCTCCAAGGAGCTGCTCATAATTTTCTTTGTTGAGAAGAGGTGAGGGACTGTTTCACTCTTCCACTATAAGATGATACAAGTTTTTTTATCCTTGAAAGGGTTTTCTGAAGTTGGAATCCCGACCAGCAGAGGGTCACTCCTGGCATGTTCCTCACAGTACGACATGAGGTCCGCGGACGCCTTGGAAACCTGACAGGTAGACAAACCAACAAGAAACAAAGAAAGACTTTAGTTGTAAACTTTAAATGTGTATTTGAATGCTAAACCACTGGGTAGATGACTGTTGGAAAACAGGATAATGCCGGAAAACAGGATAATGTTGGAAAACAGGATAATCAAAGTCTCAAAGTATCACCCCTAGATAACTTATCAATTAAAAAGGGGGGAAAAAATAAACAAAACTCATTGCCATCAAGTCGATTCCGACTCATAGGGACACTATAAGACAGAATAGATCTGCCCCATAGGGTTTCCAAGGAGCAGCTGGCGGATTCCAACTGCTGATGTCTCTGGTTAGCAGCTGAGCTCTTGAACCACTGAGCCACTTACGTCTCCAAAAAGGGGAAAGTGCCTTTAAAATGGAGAAGTCTGGCAGATAATGCTTTAACCAGATAATGAGACTTGCTGATGAGACAAACTGACATCGCTGAGGGCACACCACCACCTTGTTAATACTGTTGCCAAAACATTTAACTGAAACTTAATAATCAGGGGCAAAAAAAAAAAAAAAAACACATCCAAATTGAGTTATATTCTGCAAAATAAGTGGCCTGGACTCTTCAAAATGGACTGTGTATTAGATAATAGTCGAGTTTCTTAAGGGTGATAATTGTACTGTGGTTATGTAAAAGAACACCCGTGTATTTAGGAGATATATGGTAAAGTATTTAAGGGTGAAGAGTCACGATGTCTGCAAATAACTGTCAAATAGTTCAAAGAAAAAATTATATGTAGTTTGTGTGTGTGTGTGTGTATAGAGAGACAGAGGACAGAGAGAGAGAAAGCAAATGTGGCGAAGTGTTGACAATGGATGAATCTTGGTAAAGGGTAAATGGGGAGCTTGGGTGGTGTAAATGGTTAAGCACTCAATTACTAGCCAAGAGGTTGGCAGTTTGAACCCATCAAGAGGCTCCTCGAAAGACAGGCCTGCCAATCTGCTTCTGAAAGGTCACAGTATTGAAAACCCTATGGAGCAGTTCTCCTCTGCACACCTGGGCAACTAACAACAACAACAAAGGGTATGTGGGTGTTTATTGTCATAACTCTTCCGTAGGTTTGAACTTTTTCAAAACAAAAAGGGGGGGGGGTGCGTAAAAAGGAAAAAGTGTACGTGGATCAAGGGAAGGTTGTATCTTTAGCTTCTAGCCAATAAAAAGGGCTTGGAATGCAGAACAAAGTTTAAGAACTGAATAATAGGCTTGGAGCCAAAACTCTGAAAGAGGAAAGCCAAGTTCTGGAACTTCAAGATTTACTGTTAAAGATGGGGCTTCAGGAAATAAAAGGAGGGCCAAAACCAGCATGGGAAGATGCAGTGCCTTACTCTGGCATGAGTGATAAATGGAAAACACCGTCCCCTGTTGCAGAAGCCCGGGTGGGAGATCCAGCAGAATAATCAGATCAGCGTCCTCAGGGGATGAACACAGGGCAGCTGAGCTGTGTCAAGCAGGGCACAGCCTGCCTCATGTTTTGAAGACAGGTGACTATCTCCAGGTCCAGAGGAATTTATCATGTGACTGCTTCAGTTTCTAGGAAACACTTTAGTCACAACCATCCAGGGCACTCATTCCTTAGTCCTCCCTTGGGATCTGGGCTGGAAAAGCCTGCAAAGTCAGGTGACCTGACATATCTCTAGGTTTCTCTATGGGCTCTCGGCTACAGCTGGCATTACTCATCCCAGTGCAGAAAGTGGTCACTGAAGTCCACACACACTGAAAAAGCTGCATTTTCCAAAAAAGGAGACCCTAACTGTTGACTTATTATGCAAGGCTGCCTCAGCTGCACTGATAATTCTAGAACACTTAATAAATTCCAGCGGGATGATGATGGTGTTTATAAGTCCATTTGGAACCCATCCCAATTTGCAACACAGTGATCATGGGACTTGAGCATGCTCATTCAGGGAAGGTGGGTCCTCAGGAAGTCCTGTCCAGAGTTTAGGTTTTCTGTCCATACAGAGAGGGGAACTCAGACACTTCGCTGTTCACCTCTTAAAATAAGGCCTGTTCTAGGTAGAAATGAAAGTTAAGATCCTGAGACCCTCAGCTAGGAAAATCCTGGGACCCAGCTGAGTTAAACAGCATTCAAAACCACCAGTTGCTGTCAAGTCTTCTCTGACTCATGGCAACCCCGTGTGTGTCAGAGTAGAAGTATGCGCCATAGGGTTTTCAATGGCTGATTTTTCAGAGGTAGATCATCAGGCCTTTCTTCTGAGGCCTCTCTGGGTGGACTCAAACCTCCAACCTTTTGGTTAGCAGCTGAGTGCATTAACTGTTTGCACCATCCTGGAACTCCTAAATGACATGACCTTCTCTGAAGTTTGGCCCGGCCTTTGGAGAGCAGCTGGAACTGACCAGAAAGCACATCTAATCCAATCAAGGCTTCTTACCTTTATTCTTTCAATGGACGCTTCTAATCTTAACTGCTGCACAGTTCTCCTTGCCTGGGCTATGTTGTTGGTGCTTGCTGTTTTGCTGGACATCTTCAATTACTGTTTTTACCTGAAATCTTAAGAGGATTTCTTTTTTAAAGGTGAATCACAGTCATCTTTAAACTGGCTGAACAGCCATGTTGCTTTACGTTACTTTAAAGGGGAAGGAGGCCTTTTCCCAGGCATCACAACCACTCGGAAGCAGTTACTAAAATACCCCTCAGCACTCCGATGGGTGGCACAGGCGTCCAAGCTTGCTATTTGAGCACCTTCACAAATCTTTGGTTTGTAGAAGCCCAATACTAGTAGTTTAGTCAGTGCACCCCAACATGCAGCATACAAGTCGCCTTTTCTAGGCTTTTCCAAGAGGAAATGAAGACACACAAACACCTGCAGTAGTGAGAAGCCCCTCTAGCAAACATGAGCATGTGCCATCAGAGGCCACACTTCATGTGCTGTTTAATATTAAAAACCAGTTCCCGAGGAATGGATTCTGACTCACGGCAGCCCCATGTGTGTCCGAGTAAAACCGTGTTCCATAGGGTTTTCGATGGGTGATTTTTCAAAAGCAGATCAACAGGCCTTTCTTCGAAGGAGTCTCTGGGTGGACTCAAACCTCCAACCTTACGGTTAGCAGCTAAGCATGTTAACCATTTTCAGCACTCCAGTCTAATAGTAAACCAACCCATTGCCGCCGAGTCAATTCCGACCCATAGCAACCCTACAGGACAGAGCAGAATTACTCCATAGGGTTTCCAAGGCTGTAAATCTTTACAGAAGCAGACTGCCACATCTTTTTACCAGAGGGTCAGTTCAAACCGCTGACCTTTTGGTTAACAGCTGAGCAGTTAACCACTGCACCACCAGGGCTTCTTCAGTTTAATATTACTGCTATCTAATTTAATAGAAGGTGTAATTTTATTCCATTTTGGTTCTCTTAGCCAACTAGTACACTCATACAAGTCCTGCCAATTGAAAACACCTAAAGAGAGAGCCTCCAAGAAACTCTGCACAAAAAGTGCATTTTTAGGTGCTATCAAGATGTTCGATCATTTGGAGGAGGTTAGTTAGGCATATAAGGAAGCCTTTCTTTAAGAAAAAGTAGGAATCTCTCAGCTGAAAGATCCTCAATGATAGAGCCATAGGACATGTCAAATAAGACACAATGAGTAGCCGAAAGCCTGAAATATTTACAACTTTATCATTCCCTCCTCCAATCTCCCTCTGGCCTCAGGCTGGTGGCCAGGGCACTTGTTCATCCTGTTACCCCATAATCTGTTCAAGGGCTGACTCTCTCCTCTGGCCTGAGCCTCTGTATTCTAGGCTGCCTTGTTTTCCTCTTTCCCCAGCCACCTGGTGAAAATCAACGGAAACATCCTGGACCTCGAGCTTCGACCGCCCTGGTTTTCCAACTGCACATTCCAAGGAGAAGGCCAGCCTGTGGAAAAGCACTGCCTAGTGCCCTGCCATATATGGCTAAGTTCCCTCTCAAGCGAGTGGTGACTGGGGAAAACGCCGAGCTGGCAGGCCTGGCAGTGGTGGCAGTGTGGCGGTTTTATGACTCATGGGAGCAGGTGGACAGTAGGTGTTCCTCCCCAGCACTATGCACGGGCTCAGCAAAGTCTCAGAGCATGGTTGCGCCAGTCACAAACCCAGGCTGGCTCAACCTTCTGGAGGGGCCTTAGCTGCACAGAGCAATTCTGCCATAAAAGCTTAGACCGGACACAGCTGACAAAAACACCAGCAACCCACAAGCTCTACAGTCTCTACCATGTGGGCACTATGGTGTTGTACACAGAGTTCCACAAGACTTAGAATGCTCCCAAAGGCTGAGTTCAAGGACTTGGGATGGTGCTTACACCCTCTATGGCCAAAAGAAGCTTTGAGTCAAATGCACAAATCAAACTGTGCTTTTAATAGTGTGCAGGACTTTGAAATACAGCCTAAGCAGCAAGCTTCACATTCCTGGGTTTGGATCCTGCTTCTGCCACTTACTAGCTGGGTGAAACCAGGCAGGCAACTTAACCTCTATGAGTGCAAGTTTTCTCAGCTGTACTATGAGGATACTATTACCCATCACATAGGGTTGTTTTCAAGGATTCAATTTGCTAGTGCACATCAAGTGTTTGGCATAAGACCAAGGGCACTCCATAAACAGCTGTTAATAATTTTATTTTTTTATTTTTTATCATTGTGCTTTAAGTGAAAGTTTACAATTTGCTGTTAATAATTTTTATCCTTTGGGGTCACACATAGCACAAGGTATTGGAATTCGTTGTTTATCTGTCTGCCTCCCTCCCTGGTCAATGAGTCTCAATGGACTGGGTCTGGGTGGGCTACGAGCATCACTTCTTTTTTTAACAAGTCCCCAGGACAATCTATTGCTTGGTAAAGTAGAGGGTCAGTGAAAAAGAGGAAGACCTTCAACGAAATGGACGCAATGGCTGCAACAATGGGTTCAAACATAGCAACAATTGTGAGGATGGTGCAGGACCAGGCAGTGTTTTGTTCTGTTATACATAAGGTTGCTATGAGCTGGAACTGACTTAACTGCACCTAACAACAAAAGGCCCCTCTACGGGGCATCTGTGGTTCAGTGGTAGAATTCTTGCCTTCTGTGAGGGAGACCCAGTTTCCATTCCTGGTCAATGCACCTCGTGCACAGCCACCACCCATCTGTCAGTGGAGGCTTGCGTGTTGCTATGATGCTCAACAGGTTTCAACGGAGCTTCCAAACAAAGATGGACTAAGAAGAGAGGCCTGGTGATCTACTTCTGAAAATCAGCCCATGAAAATCCTGTGGATCACTATGGTCCTATCCATGACCAATCATGGGGATGTGCAGGACTGGGCAGCATTTTGCTCAGTTGTGCGTGGTATTGCCATGAGTTGGGGGCCGCTAACAGCAACTGCCCATTCTGCTGCACTTCACTGCCAGGGCAGGATGGAATGAATGACAGTCAGCAGAAGAGTCCCCTTGGAGCAGGGAAGCACTAGCAATGCAGGAAACTGGAAGGGGAAATATGTGGCAGGGCAAGGTGGCCTTGCCTGTCCTAAGCCTTGGGAGACCTTGTTTCAACCCTGAGATGCTGGCTCCTCTTCAGATTCCTCAGCCATCCTGTCCCACCCGAAGGAGAGGCCTGGGGTCTCCTCCTCAGGTATTTTGCTCACACCCAGCAGCTAGCCTAGCTCAGTCTATGCAACTAGGCAAGTGCTTATTAACAGACACTTTGAAATGGGGCTTGGGCACTAGGAAACCTCACTGTGAACAGCGTGAAGTGCCTGGGCTTACAGTGCGGCGGTTACGTATTTTGTTCCTTGTAGCATGTTAAACCGGGCTCCCTTCCCAGCTGGCACCGGTTCTGAGGATCGGCCCTCAGCCTCCAAAACAGGAACATGACACCCTTTCTGCACAGCCTGTGGTTTCCACGCTGCACCCTAAGGACTTTCTAAATGTTCCCTTTGCATGAGAATAACACCAAGCATTCTCTTCTTCCTCGCAACCTCCAGGGCATGAAGTTTCCAAGATCCCACCAAGTTTTCCTGTAACTGCAGAACAGTTCACACGTCTCAGAACTCCATCAGTCACTGTTCCCACTGCAAGGCCCTAAGCAAACATTCCATGGTCAGGCTCTTTAGAAAATGCTTGGGGAGGTCCCCCACAAATTGATGGGAAACTCTGCATCTAGTACACTGAGGACTTTCTTACTTCCTGACTGCATTATAGTCATGATTAAAAACAGCTAGCAATTCACAGTTCACGCCTGCCAGCTTAGGGCTTCTTGCGTCCTTCCCCCATTGTGATATCTGTGTTCTGACCTGCCCCTTCATAGAGGGCGTCTCCTGCTCGTCACTTCCCCGCTCCCCTCCGCCGGGGAATCCTCAAGGCCCCCGACTCTAGAAAATCCATGCAAGATATTTCTATTGAGCAGTATTCGGTACCAGGCACAGCGTGGGACATGTGAGGCATTGGTGGCTCAGGGGTAGAATTCTCGTTTTCCATGCAGGAGACCTGGGTTTGACTTCCAGCCAATGCACCTCATGCACAGCCACCACATATCTGTCAGGGGAGGCTCGTGTGTTGCTGTGATGCTAAACGGGCTTCATAATTTCCAGATTAAGTTGGAATAGGAAGAAAGGCCTGGCAATCTATTTCTGAAAATCAGCCAATGAAAACCCTATGGATCAACAATGGATTGATCCACAACCGATCATAGGGATGGCATAGGACAGACAGCATTTGGTTCCATTATGCTTGGGGTCACCATGAGCTGTTGGCTGCCTCGACAGTAGCTAACAACAATAGCAAGACAGACACAGCTGCTGCCCTCACAGAGCTTAAGATCTTGCTCAGGAGACAAACATTAAACAAGTAATTAGACACTTCCTTCCTCTACTACCTCCTGCCCCGCCAGACCCTCTGGAAACTCAAGTACCGTTTCTCTTCTGGAAATCCCCTCCACTCTGCTGGTATATGGATAACCCCACCTAGAAAATTAGATAAAAGTTATGTGGTGGGTTGACTTTACAGTTTCACAGATTTATTAAAAAAAACAAAAACACTTTCTACTGAGTATTGTATAGGAATCGCACTGATGTCAATTAAATGGGGTCTTCGTGATCAGTCCTAGAAAAAGTTGTACATTGGGCGACTGGAAAAGAAAATGATCTCCTATTATAACATTGTTCCTATAAAGAAATCAGATCATAATTATATTGTTTTAACTTAAGAAGCCTCTTTGAGGAACTCAGTTGGCTGAGGTGCCTCATGGTGGTGCAAGGTGGGCAGTGCTATCTGATTCCCGGGCTGCAGGAGGTGTTTACTGGTGTTCTGGCTGAGTACTTCCTCCCCACTTGCAGCTGCTTTGCACCTCCTGGGCAGGGGCAGACAGACATCTCCAAACACTGCTACACCTCAGAGGGTTTTCTTTGGTATTCCCTCAATGGCAGGGGTGCTTCGCTGTTTGTTTCTGCTACTAGGTTGATAAAAGGCTTACTTTATTCTTACACCAAGAACAGCTTCCAAGGCAAACAATACCTGGTATTTGTATAGAACCTGAGAGCACACACACTGCTT